CTTCTCCTTCTTCTTCCTCCCCCCTCCTCCTCCTTCCTCCTCCTCCTCCTCTTCTTCCTCCCCCCCTCCCCCTCTCCTTCTCCTTCTCCTCCTTCTCCTTCTTCTTCCCCCCCCTCCTCCTTCTCATTCTTCTTCCTCCTCCTCCTTTTCCTCCTCCTCCTTTTTTTGCATAGGGGTTAGAAAAGAGAATTTGCTCATATCTGTCATCCGAGAGCTTAGTTAAAAGGCAAGCTGTACTCTAATTCCCTTGAGATTAATAGAACTCCTGTATGGCCCTCAAAGTTTGAGCCTACCTTAATCTAGGTTTTACTTTGGTTTCTAGTAGTAACTAGCACAATCTTTTGCAAAACAAAAGAGAACATTTTTTTTTTAAATCACCCTTTCTATCCCAGCTGCATTTTTATTTTGATGAAGAACAAGCAGTCCTCGCCCTACAACAGTTCGTTTAATGACCATTCGAAGTTATGGCAGCCCTGAAAAAAGGGACTTATTATGACCATTTTTCACAGTTACGACCGTTGCAGTTGTCCCCCACAGCCACATGATTAAAATTCAGCCGCCTGGCAACCGACTCATATTTATGAAATTAATAAAGATTGTACCATGGGGCACTTAACAAATGTCTCACTTAGGAACAGAAATTTGGACTCCATTGTGGTCGTAGGTGGACGACCCCCTGTGCTTTCTGTAATTACTAATGGGCAGGGGTGGGCTATTAGGGGTTTGCAGGGGTTCGGGAGATCCCCTAGCTAAGATTCTGTGCAGTTTGGAGAACCCCCAAATCCCACTCCTGGCCCTGCACATCCCTCCCAGCCCCTCCACGCCTAGGAGTCCCCACGCGGCCTGTTTTGGATGCAGGTAAGTGCAGGACACACATGCAGGCTCTGGGAGAGTGAAAAACGGGCCTCCTGGAAGTTTGGGAAGGGTGGAAATGGGCCCGTTTCCGGCCTTCGGATGGCCTCGGGAGCCAAGGAAGGCCATTTTTGCTCTCCCAGAATGCTTGAGGAAAGCCTCCAGAGCCCAGGGAGGGCAAAAACATCCCCCCGCCCGCCGCCATGGTGCAGGAGGCTGACTAGGCCACGCCCACCCAGCCATCGGGCAGAGAACCCGTTGCTAAAAAATTTGAAGCCCATCCCTGAGAAGGAGAGGAGAGGAGAGAGAAGGGAAAAGGAGAAGAGAAGAGAAGAGAGGGAAGGGAAGGGGAAGGGGGAGGGGGTGGGGAAGAGAAGAGAAGAGAAGAGAAGAGAAGAGAGAAGAGAAGAGAAGAAGATAAGGGAAGGGAAAGGGAAAGAGAAGAGAAGAGAAGAGAAGAGAAGAAGGGAAAGGAAGGGATGGGAAGAGGGGAAGGGAAGAAAAGAGAAGAGAAGAAGGGAAAGGAAGGGATGGGAAGAGGAGAAGAGAAGAGAATAAAAGAGAAGAGAAGAAGATAAGGGAAGGGAAGAGAAGAGAAGAGGATAAGGGAAGAGAAAGGGAAGGAAAGGAAAGGAAGGGGAGAGGAGAGGAGAGGAAGCCCACCCCTGCTAATATAGGTGATACCCTTGGTCAGGTTTGCTCATTCCATAAATAGAGAAAATTGTCAAAAAACTACTAACTGCTCATCAGAAAGATGAAAAATTGGCATCATTTGTTTTGTTTTTTTCTGGTTTCTTACTCATCAATCCTTGGGATAAAATACATGTTTCTGGGAAAATGACATGCATGTATAATGGTGTCTGCAAGGATTGTCCTCAGTTAATTGGGTTTAAGATTGATGTGCATATTAATGAATCTCTCTTTTATATTCCATCATATCTCTGTAGAATTTTTAGCAAACTTCTTTTCTTTCAAATGCATTTCTGAACTCTTATTCTGGATATAGGAGGGAGGAGAAGCTGCAATTAATGAAGCTTCACCTACTTAGTTTTATTCATTGGATTAATTAATGCAATTAATTGATTGATTGATTGGTTAATGAAGAATAATAGCACTTAGATTACAGCATCCAGTTTTGGTCACCATGTTTTTAAAAAAGATGTAGAAACTGGAAAGAGTGCACAGAAGAGCAACAAAGATGATTAGGGGACTGGATGCTAAAACATATGAAGAACGGTTGCAGGAACTGGGCATGTCTAGTCTAGTGAAAAGAAGGACCAGGGGAGACAATTCTTCCAGTATTTGAGGGGTTGCCCCAAAGAAGAGGGAATCAGTTTATTCTCCACAGCACCAGGACAAGAAATAATGGATTAAAACTAGTCAAGAAGAGAAGCAACCTAGAACTAAGGAGAAATTTCTTCCCTGTGAAAAAACCCCACAGAAGTTGTCGGTTCTCCACCACTGGATATTTTCAAGAAGAGACTGGACAACCATTTGTCTGAAATAGTATAGGGCTGTAATGGCAAACCTATGGCACACGTGCCACAAGTGGCACACAGAGCCATTTGTGCTGGCATGCAAGCTGCAGGCAAACTTACCTCACTGCACATGCACGCGTCTCACAGCTGATTTTCAGTGGGTTTGAGGCCTTTTTTGGCCTCCCAAAGGCTTGAGGAAGGCTTCTGCAGGCTTTGCAGGCTGAAAACTAGCCCCGTTTTGTCACTTCCTGTTTTTCCGAAAATACCGGAAGTGACAAAACAGGGCTAGTTTTCGGCCTGCAAAGCCTGCAGAAGCCTTTCTCAAGACTTTGGAAGGCCAAAAAACGCCTCCAACCCACTGAAAATCAGCTGTGAGGCACAGTGCAGGTAAGGGGGCGGTGGGGGTTGGTAGGTGGAGATTGCGTGCACATGCATAGGGGGCGTGGGGGGGGGCATGTGCATTGCCTTCTGGGTGCTGGCACGCAAACGCATGCAAGCGCGCACACAGTTTTTGGCACAGGAGCCCCAAAAGGTTAGCCACCACTGGTATAGTGTCTCTTGGCTGAGCAGTGGGTTGGATTAGAAAACTCTGGTCCTTTCCAACTCTGTTATCCAGCAAGCTCTGACCAGTTCTGGAGAACCGGTAGCGGAAATTTTGATTAGTTCGGAGAACCGGCAAATCCCACCTCTGACTGGCTCTGCCCCCATCTCTTCTCTGCCTCCCACTGAGTCCCAGCTGATTGGCTGGGTCTTCTTTGGTTGCCCTGCACAGGAGAACGGAGCTGGAAAGCAGGTTAGTGGGGTGGGGAGGAAATGGGATTTTATAATAACCTTCCCCCAGGAGTGGGGAGGGAATGGAGATATTGCAGTATCCTCCCGCTGCCATGCCCACCAAGCCATGCCCACAGAAGAGGTAGTAAAAAAAAATTGAATCCCACCACTGCAAGTGTTATCCTGTTAAGATTAATTACCATTTTTGTAAACAAGCTCCATTTAGGATTATGGGCGTAGCCTTTTGCTTTGGACTGCCCAGCACTTCCTGCTTTCTTGAAAGAGAAAAAAAAAAACATATATCTCGGGTCTACATCAAGATGGCTGAACATTTTTAGAGCTAAGTTTAGTTACCTTCACTGAATACTTGCAGATGTGCTCGCTCTTGCTTGATGCTTACCGAGCCTCAAACTATCTATCAAAGTTTAAATATAGAAAGAACACTCTGTCCTTTTGCCTATTTCCAAACAAAAAATCTCCAGGATGCGTTTTTTTTTCTTGAAAGCAAAAGTTTCTAAGGCACTTAGAAATGAGCAAAATAACCCATGAATTAATTGACGTTTACACAGAGCTGAGTGCTTTCCTGCTTCCCCCCCCCCCCCTATTTTCAGATTCTTCTGAAGGATCTTTAAAAGCCTTGACAAGTCGAGGAGAGATAAACGCCTACGTTCTTCGTCAAACCGGAGAAGTTAATCTGGCTTCTCAGGAAGGTGAGTGAGTTAGTAAATTTAAAGATTAATATTGGGGATTGCTGGGCTGCCTTGAAGAGCAATTTCCCCACTTAAGATGCCCTGCAACCAGGAGAATTAAAATAATCTCTCTATATAAAAGCAAAAGACCACTCAGGCATCATCACAAAATCTCCAGAACCGTAAAACCTACAAACTTGAAATTTGGCACATATGTCCCTCTTGACTTCTAGGTGCTCACTAGGGAAGGATTTTTCAAAATGACCATCAGAGCATTAGTATTTCATATATTATTATTATTATTGTTGTTGTTGTTGTTGTTATTATTATTATTATTATTATTACGCTCTTATGCTAAAGATTTCTACTCCCTCTCCCCACCTGAAAAGGAATCTCTTCCAAATGCAAAACAAGCAGAGGAGAGGAGTTTCAGTTTTACTTTCACAGCACTAAGCAGCTTTAGTACACAACAGTTGAGCTAAGCTACGCCCAGGCTCCTTGTTGTCTCCTTCTTGCTCACACAGCAAATACTGTTTCACTTTCCAAACAGCCCTCAACTCTCTCACACACTGACAGGACACTAGCCAGATAAATATTGATGGATGCTGGTAGGCAGAGGCAGAATTTTTTTCTGTTATTTTTGTCCCAAAAAACTACGCCCAACCACTTAGTTTCATAGCGAACCACAGTTATGGAGCTAGTTTAAAATTTTGAGCAAATCCAGAGAAAGGATAGGCAACAAACATGGTGCACGGTCTGAGGGACATAAACATATCAGGAGAGAATGGAGGCCTCGACTTACAACTGTTCATTTAGTGACCATTCAAAGTTACAACAGCACTGAAAAAAGTGACTTATGACTGTTTTTCACACTTACGGCCATTACATCATCTCCGAGGTCACAGGATCAACATCCAGACATCTGGCAACTGATTCATATTTACAGCGGTTGAAGTGTTGTGCAATCCTCTTGTGCGACCTTCTGACAAGCGAAACCAACGGGGATGCTGGGATCCACTAAACAACCGTGTTACTGCAGTGATTCACTTAACAACCATGGCAAGAAAGGTCGCAAAATGAGGCAAAACTCACAGAACGGTCTCACTTAGCAATGGAAATTTGGGGCTCCATTATGGTTGTAAGTCGAGGATCCTTCTGAAGTAATGTATCATCCATTCCCTAATATCCGCTTTAATTAATTAGATTTTCTTGATTATTATTTTTGTCATGAATTTTCAAAACTAAGTTCTTAGGTTTACAGAGAATATTAACCTCTGATGTTTTAGAGTTAAAAAAAAAAATCCCACTTCTGAGGTAACGTATCATCTGTTCCCTAATATCACCTTCAATTAGATTAGATGAATATTTTCTTGATGATTATTTTTCTTGTGAATTTTCAAAATTAAGTTCTTAAGTGAACAGGGAAAATTAACCTCTGATGTTTTAGAGTTTAAAAAAAACCCACTTCTGATGTTACGTATCATCTGTTCTATAATATTTATCTCCCTGTTAGTAGATAGGAGAGCGGATGGATCGGCTGTATGCAGAGGTCTTTCGCCAGCTTTGGTTCCACGTAAATATGGAGCAAACACTTAGCCAGTGTTTCTTGGCTGGATTACTCAGTATTTCCAAGCCAGAACTTGGGGGAGTCTGAAGTGAAGCCAAGAGGCAGGACCTTCCTTTCCTAAAAATGCACACTCAGTACTTTGTGCTTGCAGGAAATCCAGAGATGCTTGCAATGTGAACACTTTGTGTGTAGAGATTCTCGGAAAGAACAGTGGGGAATGGAAGGATTTCTATTCCTTGAAGACAGCTGATCATTTGCATCCTTTTAGACGGTCGTTGAGGCCACTTGGAGGTTTATCTGTGTCTTCAGGGTCACCTGAGTGGTGCTCCTGGTTCCTGTAGTCTGCAGTTTTTTTCCCTCTGGAAATCTATTCTACTCCCACACCATCCCAAGGGTATTCATCCCAAATTGCATAACTAAAAGTTTGTAGAGATTCTCCATCATCCAGGTCATGGTTATCCCAAAGGTGCTTTTTCAGGAGACAACTAGACTTTCTTATTGACAAGAACCATTTATGCTACTCAGGTGACCACGAGGACACAGATACACCTCCAAGTGGCCTCAATGCCCCTCTAAAAAGATGCAAATGACCGCTGTCTGCAAGGAATATCAATCTTTCCATTCTCCCACCATCCAGTCAGAGCTGAAGAAGCTTCTGGGATGAGAAGCGAAACGTCTTCAAAGTAAAAAACAAGAAAGTCCAGTTGCCTCCTGAAAAAAGCACCTTTGGGACAACCATGATCTGGAGGACTGAGAATCTCTACAGATTTTTAGCTATGCAATTTGGGATGAACACCCTTTGAGTGGTGTGTTGTTAAGTGAATCACTGCAGTTGTTAAGTTTGTAATCCAGTTGTTAAGGGAATCTGGCTTCCCCCATTGACTTTGCTTGTTGGAAGGTCGCAAAAGGGATCATGTGACCCCATCACTGCGACTGTCATAAATATGAGTCAGTGGCCTAGCATGTGTATTTTGATCACATGATCATGGGGAATGCTTCAATGGTTGTAAATGTAGAAAACGGTCATAAGTCCCTTTTTTCAGTGCCATTGGAACTGAATGGTCACTAAATGAACTGTTCTAAGGACCACCTGTATAAATCTAAGTGCTATTAGACTTGCTGTTCTGACCAAGGGCCTCTGAGACCGTAATTAAGCACACACTTAGTTAAAACAACTCATCTTATTTCAACGCTGGGAATTATTTTCATTCCCAGCCCGTAATGAGTCCCAAACAGTCCCTCAAGATAAGCACCCACCTTTCTCTCCTTTGAATTGCTGCCAACAACTAAAGTACCAATTGAACTATAAAAAACTAACTGAAGTACCAAGTCCACACATAGCTTCAAGGATTAATCCGAACAGAACAAATGATTTTGCTTCCTGCAAAGGTTTCATTACCTTTGCCTGTCCTTTATACCTTATGGGAGGGGCAAACACCTCCAAGCCTTACTCCTGAGTCACCCCTTTTGTTTCAGCTGCTCTCGCCTTCTAGCAGCTCTGTGCATACACGCACTGGGAACAGGCTCCCCTTCTTCCTCTGCCTCGCTCCTTCCAGACTCTGGAGGCTCCAGAGTCAGCACCCCACTCCCAGATGGTCCTGGCCCCATCTCTGCATCGGACGCAGGACCCTCGTCTGAGTCCTCCCCAGACTACTGGACTGGTCCCTGTTCTTCCCCACCGTCCGATTCCGCTGCCGTCTGCACAGGCTGCCGGCGAACCACAATAGTTGCTTTGTTTGTAATAGAGAGACCTTGTCCTCCCTGTCCAAAATGTGGACTTTGCTGTCTTCAAAAGAGCGACCTTTTTTTTTTTAAATGCAGATGGACTTCTGAATCTTGCCCTGAGGGGTTCCTTCTACTATCTTGTGCCACGTGTTTTGTGAAGTGGTTGTTTTGTTTCCCCAAGTGTACACATTTGGTTTTTTAAAAAAATACTTGTAACTTTATCCTGGCCAGCGTACGAGATGGGCAGTGTTTAAATTTGACAAATCGAGAAATAAAATAAACTTACACATAAGTGCCAAATTTCAAGTTTGTAGGCTTTACAGTTCTGGAGATTTTGTGACGACGTAAAATGGGGAGCAAACAAATGTCTCCCTTAACAACAGAGATTTTTTGGCTCCATTGTGGTGGTAAGTCGAGGACTAACTACATTCTTCAGTCCAGTTTTAGAGCCACAGGCATGGAGAAAAGCAAATTTTCTACTAACAACAATCATATTAGCAGAGAGGCTCATTCTGCGGTTGAAAGAATTTGCTTCATAGTTTGTTTAATGTGAATCCTTTCCTCGCTCTCCATAACAGGTTCCATTACCCTCAAGGTACCTGCAACTCTTCAAACTTCTCTGAAATTGTCTGGAAGGAAGGTGGAAATCAGTCCAGAAATCCAATTGCAGGAGATCCAGACTGTCTCGAGTGAAGATCGTGTCGCAGTGACGGGTGAGATTTGTTTGTTGATAATCTCCTGAAAACACATCACATTTTCCAGTGAAACAAATTTTCTGCAATGGGTGGCTGTCTGGGTTTACAGAACAAGCCACATCCTAAACCCCTTCCCCCCTTTTTTTCAACTTGGCCTGTTGGAACTAACCAGAGTTCTTGAATTCAGATGTGTTTGTGAATTCCGTTTAATTTCAGCTCAGAAACAATGGTTTTAGTCTTCAGCTTCTTGAGGATTAAAGCAGAAGAGACATGAATAGAATAGAATAAGAATGGAATGGAATGGAATAGATGGAATGGAACGGAACGGAATAGCAGAGTTGGAAGGGACCTTGGAGGTCTTCTAGCCCAACCCCCTGCTTAGGCAGGAAACCCTACACCACTCCAGACAAATGGTTATCCAACATCTTTTTAAAAACTTCCAGTGTTAGAGCATTCACAACTTTTGGAGGCAAGTGGTTCCACTGATTTAATTGTTCTAACTGTCAGGAAATAGGAATACAATTAGTATTTATCTGCATTTATATAGAGAGTAGGGTAGAGTAGAATAGATTTCATTTTCTTTCCACTTCAAGCACAAAGTCCAAAAGCGGTTTCCAAATAAGAAACAAAATTAATCTCCGTCAATTTTTGCGCATACACACACACAGAGAGAGAGAGAGAGAGAGAGAGAGAGAGAGAGAGAGAGAGAGAGAGAGAGAGAGAAAAGGAAAATTGAAATATGTTTGCATTTGTAATAGGGAAGAGAATCAAATGTTTCCTTGCTTTGTTTAGTGCAGGTGTGTCCATCCCAAACCCCACAGGCCACAGATAGCACTGGACAGCTAATAATGTGGTCCCCACAAGATCGTAAACTTTTAACTTTATGATGTGAGTTTTAGCCATAACTATATTATATATTTTACATGTGGCCCAAGATAATTCCTCTTCACTCAACACAGCCCAGGCAAGCCAAAAAGTTTGGATATGCTCTCTCTCTCTCTCATACATTGAAAGAAAGATCGAAAGAAAGACAGATTGAAAGAAAGAGGCTGAGAGTGTGTGTGTGAGAGAGTGATTAAAAGAGAAAAGACAGGGAGAGAGAGAGCTGGAGAGAGCGGGAGAGAAAGAGAGATGGAGAGAGAAATTGAGAGAAACAGGGTTAGAGAAATTGAGCAAGAGACAGAGAGAGATTGAGATAAAGAGAGAGAGAAATTGAGAGAGACACACACACAGAGAGAAATTGAGTGAGAGACAGAGAGAGATTGAGATAAAGAGAGAAAGAAATTGAGAGAGACACACAGAGAAAAAGAAATTGAGAGAAAGACAGAAACAGATGGGGTTAGAGAAATTGAGAGACATGGAGATTGAGAGAAAGAGGGAGAGAGAGATTGAGAGAGACAGAGAGAGAGAGAAAGAGCAAAACCACACACAATGATCAAAGCAAGTCTCTCCATATATCTGTAATATGACGTATGCTCTTCAACTTAGACTGTTCATCCAAATCATGTCCAATTTATCTAAAAACTTTGGCAGGACTTGCAACCCACTTTCGTCCCTCACTTCCATGCTCCAAATGGAGTCCGCTAGACCGAAGGTTACATAGCTCTGAATAAAATAGGTTGACCTTGCTTGTCACGGTTAAGGAATGTCCTTGTTAACGGCCAGACGACTGGCTTGGCTGACCGTGACTTTATTTTATTTATAAGAATGGCCTTGAAGTGCAGCTGATCAGGTCATGCTGTCCGTATTTGCAGAAAGAAACCCTTAGTCAGAAAGTTTATTTTGGAAGTGTAAAAAAATAAACCATCAGCAGTGACATGCATCTTTCTTGATGATTTGGGATGGAGGGGGTGGGCTTCCCAAATAGGAAACTAACCAAACCCATCGCATTTATTTTCTACAACAAGAATAGTGTGGAAGGCCATAAACTCCATATTTGAACCTGGAGAGAAGTTGCATAAACAACTTGGCAAGTTCCTTTGGGAGAGAGCGAGGGAGAAGTTTACAAATGTTTTTATGCTACCTTATGAATCCCATAATCATAATTACGATTAATGAGTATTATTCATAATTACTCATAATTATAATTATGAATCTCAGAGGGACGTGGTGCCTCAGTGGCTAAGACTCTCAGCTTATCGATCAGAAAGGTTGGCAGTTCAGCGGTTCGACTTCCTAACACCGCGTAACAGTGAGCTCCCGTTACTTGTCCCAGCCTCTGCCAACCTAGCAGTTTGAAAGCATGTAAAAAATGCAAGTAGAAAAATAGGGACCGGCCCATAGATTTCCACTGCTCTCCTCTCCTCTGCCTTCTGTGCATTCGTGTATCAGGCACTGGACCCAGCTGTTCCTCCTCTTCCTCATCAGCCACCTCCAGACCTGAGGACTGTTGACTCTCCATCTGAGGGCCGATGGATGGCCTAGGTTCTGCCTCTGTCTCTTTCTCTCTCTGCCAGCTCCATTCTCTCTTCCCTCTTAGAGCTCCCAGATTGCCCTGATGCTAATTCTGACTCCCACACCTCCTCCTCCTCCTCCTCCTCCTCCTCTAATTTGGCTGCTGAAGGGGCCGGCAGCCAACAGGCCACAACAACACTTTTCAGTGTGTTATCGATAATAAGAAATGCTTTATCAGAGGCTCTTCTTGCCATTATCCACTCGGTGAGTAGGTTCATTTGTGTGAGAAATAAGGTGTTGAGGCATAGAGTTCTCTTCCCAAATTCAGAATCTTGTTCGTTTACCTTTGTGGATGCAGCCGGCCTTCCTCCATTCTTTGCTTCTTCGGTTTTTGTTAAGCACTGTATGAAATCTTCAGATTTCTAATACTGTTGCTCAAAGATTGAAATGTATTCAGTTTTTGTAAGATTTTTTTTTAAGATAGTCATTTAGGCTTGGGTATATTTTGGTAGGAAGACGCTGAGTACAGAAAACAAATTAATTGCAGTGGAAAACAGCTGTTTACAGCTGGAAAAGTCTGAGCCCAAATAGAAGGGGGAAAAAAGAGGTTTGCTTCAGTTCTTACTGTAAGCTCTCATTAAAAGGTCCCAAATTAATCATCATCATGTTACAGTGTTTGCTACCTGCACACTCCCACCATAAATAATAGTTCAAACTCTGCTGTTAGAGTAAAAAAAAAAAAAAGCTGCATAGATGATCAATGTAAGTCCAACAACTGCTAACGGCTATGTTCATTTTGACATTGGGTCAAAGTCTAGTTGCATTTTTACTCTCTCTCTCTCTCTCTCTTTCTCTCTCTGTGCCATAACTATTCATCTCTGCCCCCTGCCTTTTATCCCCAGAGCTAGGGTGGGGCTTCAGTAGCAGCGGTGGCTTTTCCATCCCAAGGACCAGCCCATAGATTTCCATTGCTCTCCTCTCCCCTGCCTTCTCCGCGTCCACACAGCAGGCACTGGACCCAGCTGTTCCTCCTCTTCCTCATCAGCCACCTCCAGACCTAGGGGCTGTTGACTCTCATCTGAGGGCTGATGGATAATCCAGGCTCCGCCTCTCTCTCTCTCTCTGCCAGCTCCATTCCCTCTTCCCCTTCGGAGCTCTCAGGTTGCCTTGATGCTTCCCTGACTCCCATGCCACCGCCTCCTCATCTGACTCGGCTGCTGGAGGGGCTGGCAGCCCAACAGGCCACAACAAAGGCGAATTACTTACGCTGCCACAAATATTTCCAGATCTCTATCTCTGTCGGAAAAAGTTCTACACCAGGGGTCCCCAACCACCGGGCCACGGACCGGTACCGGTCCGTGGAACATTTCCTACCGGGCTGCCGGTTTGCTGGGTGCCACCATCTTGTTTGATGAGAAAGTGCTTCTGGGTGAGCTTTTCCGGTTGGAAAGCGGCATTTGGGTCCTGAAGGAATCCTCACGCCTTAGTTTCATCGAAGGGGGGGGGGGCTTCGAATGAAACTAAGGCACGAGGATTCTTTCAGCACCCAAGGCAAGGCGAGCTGAGCGACCGTCCCGAAGCCGTCCCAAAGCGAAGCCCATCGACAAAGGTACAAAGGAGGAGTTGAAGGTGGCGGGGAGAAGTGGGGGACGGCTGGCTGGTCGGTCACTTGGCTTGGCTCGCCTTGCCTTGTCATGTGTGCTGATGCCGGTACCGGGCCGTGGATCATTTTGTGATGCAAGTACCGGGCCGTGGCAAAAAAAAGGTTGGGGGCCACTGTTCTACACAATAGAGAAAAAATACTCCTGGCCTTTTTTCCCCTGCAGATATGAAGACAATGCAGGAGAACAGCAGGCAGAGCTGTGGGGTGGATAGTCATATGCAATAGTCATATGCACCATATACATATAGTCATATGCATAGAGCCATATGCAGAGTGGTGCGGTGGCCTAGACTAGGTGGAGTTCTCACCTCACAATCAGGAGGCTGTGAGTTTGATCCTAGCTAGAGGCAGATATTTCTCTCCCTGGGCACAATGGGAATGTATCTACTGAATATAACTCTGCACTGGAGACAGGAAAGGCATCTGGCCAGTAAACACTCAGTTCCATTTAGTTGCCCCAACTCCACCCCGCAAGGGATTATGGGGGTCATTAAATGACAAACATATCATCATATGCACTATCATGTGCATATGATAGTGTAATTCTTGTCTCTAAAGAAGGTAAGGTCATTATTATTTGAAATGTAGTAATTTATTCTGCCATTGTTCCTCGTTATACCTCTTGTGGATTTAATTTATGGCCTGGGTCATTTTTCCAGTAATGTATGTTTTCCTTCCCTGGACTATGTCCATGATCTAATACTGCGCAGTCAGGGGAGATGAATAATCTCAACTCCACATTCCAGAGAGAGGTGAAGTTGCCGAACAAAGAGCTTTTCTCATAAATCATGTTAGCTAAGTGTTTTTACACACCACCACCACAAACAGTCCTTCCAACTTTTGCACTCGTTTTATAAAGCTTTGCTGGGGTCCTCTCGAACTTGGTTCAGTTTGCTTAGCCCTCGTATTCTCAGTCCAGAAGCCGAAAATAGACCCTAGGGAGAAAAATAACCCGGTGATAATAACCACAGGAAAAAATGTTATTTAAGCCCTTGGATTCCAGCTTGTATGGAGAGAGAACCCTTCATTTTTCATTTCAGGAAACAGCTGCTTAAGCTGTCTTAAGGCTCTCTAGGATTGTTAGAACAAGGTTGGAAAAATTGCTGTAAAAAATGTTGCCGGGTAGTTTGGAAGAAGCCATAAACTTGAGCAAGACGTGAATATTTCAGAGAGAATAGAGGTATTCTTCGACGTACGATCACAAGGGAGCCCAGAATGTATGTTATTCAGTGAGAAATTTGTTAAGTGGGCTTTGCACCATTTTATGGGTCTTCTCACCACATTTGTTAAGTGAATCCCTTGCGGGTCCTAAGTTAGTAACATGGTTGTTAAGTGAGCCATTGACTTTGCTGGTGAGAAGGTCATAAATGTGAATTAGTTGCCAATGGTCTGAAGTTATCATCTCTGCAGCAGCTATATAGTTGAAAATCTGTAAGTATTTTCTTTTGTCAATGGAATTTTCATTACTTTCATTCAACCAACAGATAGTAATTAATCTGGTCTCATTTATTGCTGCATTTGTGCTGGTCCTTCAGGGGTCCCCAAACTTGTGGACTTGTGGACTTCAACTCCCAGAATTCTCCAGCTAGCATAGCTGGCACAAAGGCAACACAATCAAATAAGCAAGAGTCCTTTTATTATCTCCAACTTTTCCCCCAATGTCCAGTTACCTTCAGCTGGAGAAAAACTCTCCCAGGAACAGCCTTTAAGTGGAGGAAATTCAGCCCGAAAACAAAGTACATGCAAACTGTAACTAAAAATCCACACAAACCACACTGCAGTAATTAACTTGACAGGGCAAGAGAAGGAATTGCAGACTTGAAAGCATGGCAAAACTCACACGGTTGGGAAGACGCCAGGAACACAGATAAGCCTTGAGGATACTAGATAAATTCACAATTTGCTCCCAACAATTTGCTGCATGCAGCTTCCTTTTATAAACACTGTTCCCAGCCGAAGCTATTGAAGGGAATCAGGGCCCTTTCCTCCCCCCTAAGCCACGCAACTCATGTTGCTCCCTTCTCCGTTCCTCCCTGCGTGCCCTAGGATGAAGAGGGGGTGGGTCTGGGTCTTCCTCTGAATTCCCTCTACCTTGCTCTACCTCTCCCCTGCTTTGCCCAGCTGGACTTTGCCCTTCCCCAGTTTCTTCCACAGCTAACAGAGCCACACTCCCGCTCCTTGTCAGCTGCTTGGCCTCCCCCTCCGAATCAGACTCTGACAGGGGCAGTATCCTTCCCCTGCCACGCCCACCAAGCCATGCCCACAGAACCGATAGTAAAAAAAATTTTAATCCCATCACTGACTCTGTTACCTTATTAGTTGGTACCAAAATATTAATAATTCTCTTTAAGCATACAGAGGGAGTCATCTATATAGTTACAATCAAAATTTCTATGACCACAGAGTGTTTGATTCCCTACCTATATATATGAGATAGGTGAGGGCTTATCTACATATTCTGTGCTACATAACCTACATTCTGCATTTTATATGTGTAATATATTATAGAAAAAGTTAAAACCGCTGATAGGAATAGGAAGCAGGTGAGTGGTTCATGCTTTCATTTTGGAGAGAAAAATGATGTGTAAGAACTTGAGAATTTCTGATTACCCTTTGTCAAAAGATGCTTGTAATTTTATTATTTTGGAAAATAGTTGGAGAACATTGCATACTTCTGGCCTTGGTGCAGAACTGTTGACACAGCAATTGCTATCTACAGTACTCCAGTTCTTGTCTGACCACAGTCAACAATAACCTTCAGCAATAGAAAGTATCACTTTAAAACTGGAAATAGTCACTATCCACACAAAAGAATCTAGATTTACCTACAGAGTGTTTTCATTAAGGAAGATCCATGCATCTTCAACTATTTGGAGCCATTATTAAAATTTAAAACTTGTCTCCAGAAGTTATAAATACTCCAACACTGGAGGTTTTTAAGAAGAAATTGGATAATCATGTGTCTGAAATGGTATAGTTTCCTGCCTAGACTAGAAGACTAGAAGTTGGACTAGAAGACCTCCAAGACCTCCTTAAATTTTAATCCCATCACGGACTCTGTTACCTTATTAGTTGGTACCAAAATATTAATAAATCTCTGTTATTCTGTTCTGTTCTGTTCCATTCCCCTTCGCTCCACTCCACTCCACTCTGTATATTCTATTCTATTCTATTCTATTCTATTCTATTCTATTCTATTCTATTCTATTCTATTCTATTCTATTCTCCCATGAGCTGTTCAGAACATCCAGAAGTGGGAGGTGCTTCCAGGACGCTCCTCCTCCTTCATGGGACACCTCCCCAGCGTCCCCCAGTTTTAGCTCAGCCTTCGTGGTAAGAGGTTGTGCACTCCCTGACTGGAACGGTTTCCTGATTCAGCTAGTCAAAATTCAGGTTTGCTCTTGGGTTAATTCGGCTTGTAAATTTTTTCCCAATTAATTTGGCGATTTCAAGGTTTGTGGCTCTATTAGGTCATCCCCCCGATCAGTTTGAGAGCAGTTCTTTGTGGTTGGCGGAGCCTGCCACTCGGCAGGCAGCCTGAGACGGCGGCTTCAGGCAATTAGCTTATCTAATCCCCTGATCGTCTTATCTCTGCAATCTTGGCGGAGCGCTTGCAGCCGCGGCTCACTTTTCCTTGCCGTTTCGACTGACAGGATCATTTATCTGACAATTTAGAGAGTCAGCAGCAGCGGCTCATTAAACTGCTCAGGCAGTTAACATCGGAGATTCTGCCTTCCCGCCATTTTCAACGGCTGGCTTCAAGTTCGCGCCTAAATATCACAGGCGCCATTCCCCGCTGGTTTCCCTTCTTGGGGACCAGGGCAAGTACTTTCCCACTCCACTTCCCTGGCATTATTTCTCTTTTATCTTGCTGGCGTTGGATAAGCAGGCTAGTCCTTAAACAGGATTTTTTTTTTCTTTTTGCAATTGCTTTTGGATCATTACATTGGAGTGAAGCCGCAAGTGCCATTTCAAACAGCGGGACGTTTTTGACAGGAAAGAATCCATCCAGGCCCTGTATAGCTGGTTTCCCTTGTTGGGGACCAGGGATCCAGAATATTTCTTGCTTGGAGCGCTTGGGGGTTTCCCTTGTTGGGGACCCTTAGATACTGTTTCCCATATACACAGTTTTACATGTAGATATAGGCACGTATATGTATATGTATATGTGTGTGTATATATGTGTGTGTATGTGTATATATGTGTGTGTATATAGATATATATATAGAGAGACTTACACTCCTGGAGAAGCGTTCTACTTTCAACCACAGGGGTAGGCATCACCCCTAAGTACAAATAACAACAACAACAACAACAATAATAATTTTAAAAGCTGGCATCAGCCCCAATATCGGGGGATATTGTCCGAAACCATCTCATAGACTGGAGCATCAATGGCATCGACTTGACGTTTGAAGGGCGCTAAGCATCTATCTAGACTGTACGGCAGCATTTCGAAAATCTGAGGCTCTATTCCTATCCTTCAACCCATCCACTTTAGGACACAAGGTCTCATCGACGACCATTGGTAGATGGTTGAGAGCCACCATAGCTAAAAGTTACGAATGCCAGTCCATCTCAGTTCCTAAGGGCATTACAGCCCACTCAACAAGGAGTGCGGCAACATCAGCAGCATGGGCCACACGGGCTTCCATAGACGAAATCTGCAGAGCGGCAACTTGTCAGAAATTATAAAATTGATGTCTATGCCTCAGCGGACGCTTCATTTGGCAGAAGAGTCCTGCAGAGGGTCCACAGAGTTTAGGAGTGGATTTTGATCCAGATGGAGTCCTTCCCTAAGGACAGACCAAGCTCTGGTATGTCCCACTTCTGGATGCTCTGAACAGCTCATGGGAGAAAGGGCGTTGGTACTTACCTGATACGCCCGTTCTCTGTGACCTGTGAAGAGCATCCAGCCCCACCCATTTCTTTCCATCTGGTGTGGTTCCATTCCGGTCAGGGATCTAGATTAGGTGATGAGTTCCGGACTTTGGCACTCAGTCTTTGCAAAACTGGGGGACGCTAGGGAGGTGTCCCGTGGAGGAGGAGGAACATCCCGGAGTTTTAAGCCCAGCCTTTCCAGAAGAGACTGAAGCACCTCCCACTTCTGGATGCTCTTCACAGCTCACAGAGAACGGGCGTATCAGATAAGTACCAACACCCTTTCTCTTCCCTTCCCTTCCCTTCTCTTCCCTTCCCTTCTTTCTATTCTATTCGCTTCTATTCCATTCCATTCCATTATTTCTATTCTATTCGCTTATATTCACTTCTGTTCCATTCCATTCATTCCATTCCACTCCACTCCACTCTAATTATTCTACAATATCTTACTGCTAGTATATACTTAGATTGATTGCTGATAGTTTTAAAAACCTAGAAAGCAGCCCCTACTATTACAATATAATGCTTTCACTCAGTCAAGCCAATTTGTGGAACATTAAAATATAGAAGACCCTTAATAATGTGTGAAAATAACTATTCCCCCCCCCCCAGGCCACATGGGTCAAAAGGATGCAAAAGGAAGACACATTAAAGCGGAGACACAGCATGGCACCGTCAATCTCAAATGTCAAAGCTGGTTCCAATCTTTGAAATTGAAGATTCCTTGACAATACTTACTTTATAAATAAAGCCAGAGAAATCCAAGGTGACAGTTTAAAATTATTCTTACTAATAATAAAAGTGTGAATATTACTTCTCTGAATTGGAGAAATGTTCATCTTTTTGATCAGGTTCAAGCTGGAGCTAAGGAGAAATCTCCTGACAATGAAAACAATTAATAATTGGAACAACTTGCCTCCTGGAGTTATGGGTGCTCCATCACTGGAGGTCTTCAAGGAAAGATATGGAGC